AGATTAAGAACCCGAGCTTAAAGGCCTGATCTGGGAGTCTAGATCCAGACTTGGCTACTTATTTGCTGTGTAAACTTGGGTAAACCCTTTTCCCTCTTTCTGGGCTTCAGTGTCCCCTTCTACACAATGAGGGGTCAGGGTCATTAGCTAATCTCTAAGGTCCCTTCCTGATGTAACATTCTATGATCTACTGCTGCCTATCCCCATCATCCATCAGCCCAAGGTGAGCCTCTGGGCTGAGGTGGGCAGTACTGAATCCCCTGACTCCTGTCAGAATAGCCCCAATATTATCATCCACAGCTCACAGACCTGTGGGCTGGTGCTGGCCTGAGGCCTCAGCTCTGGCTTTCTGCTATTCTTTTCTCTCTCAATAGCTTGAACTCAGCCAAAGTTCCACTGGATCCTTTGATCTCCCCTTTTCCCCAAGGTCTTTAATCAAAGGCCCATCAAATGAGGGATAAATCAGATCCAAAGTCTAATAAGGAGCTGTCAGGAGGCCCACAGGCAACCTGACCACCCCAGAACCCCATGTCTTCTCCCTAATGCAGTCAAGTCTGAGTTTCAAAGGAGATTCCTCTGACTAGCAGGGCTTTCCTGAAGTCATCTGATCCATCCTCCTGCCTCTAAGTAGGACTGCTCCCAGATTAAAGATTCTACCACCTCCCTCCCTCACCTGCCACAATATCTTGCTGTAGCTGTCTCTTATTAAGTCTCTTTCCAAAGACTAGGAAATTCTCCCTTCTGATCAATCTCATCCCTTTCAGTTGTTAGTTCATGGTCTTAGCCCTGGGCTAAGAGACAGGAGACCTAGGTTTTAGTTCCAGATGCATTGCTTTCCTAGCCTTGGGCAAATCACTTTCTCCCTTTTTGAGCTATGCTTTTTCCATATATAAAATGGGAATAATAATGCATGCTGTATGGAGAGGAGCATCTTTTTGAGGGCCAAAAGAAAGAGTGTATGTGAAAGTGTGAGAGTGAGAGCAAGGCATCTTGCATTCTAGACAAGGTTTGAAAATTGTGACTCTGTGGGTGAATGTCCCCTGGAGGTTTCTACAACCCCCTCCCTTACTCCTACAATTTGACTTCTTATAAAATAATGGGAGAAAGCTTGATATAGTAGAAATAGGGTAAGACCTCGAGTCAGAAGACCTGGGTTTGACTCCAAGCTTTGTCTCTTGACCCAACCTCACTTTCCCCTCTCTAGGCTTCAGTTGCCTTTACATTAAGATGAGATTACCAGAAGTGGTAGCCTGGAAAAAAATATCTGCATCAAATATCCCTTATAAGATATATGGGAGAACTAACACAAATATATGACCAAAACCCCAACAGATAAGTGATCAAGGAATATGAACAATTCTCTAAAAAAATTACAAACTATTAAGCACCATGTGAAAGATAGTTCAAAAAACTAATAACAAGATAGAAGAAAGAAATGAAAGTCAAAACAACTCTAAGGTTTCACCTCATACCTAGTAAATTGTCAAAGAAGACAAAAGTTGGGAATAGTCAATATTAGAGGGGGTTATAAAAGATGGGCACATTAAATTAGTGGAACTTTGAATCAGTTCAACCATTCTGGAAAGCAATTTGGAATTACGCTAAAAAGTAACTAAAAAATTTCTGCTGGAAGTCATGTCTCCCTGGAAGTCAAAGTCAGAAAGGTCCCATATACACCAAAATATTTTTAGCAACATATTTTTGTTTTTTGTAGTAGCAAAAAACTACAAAGCAGATGCCTGTCTGTAGGAAAATGGCTAAAAAAATGTTTCGGTACATAAATGTAATGAAAATTTACTGAGAAACAATGAACATGAAGAGAAGCATGGATAAACTTATATAGACTGATGCCAAGGGAAGTAAGTAGAGTCTAGAAAGGAATATATTAATAGACCACTACATTAACAACAAAACAATCAGAGCTCAATGCTGTGAAATTATAAGGACTAAGTATGGCCTCAAAGAAGAGAGATTGGGGCAGATAGAGCTCTGGCCCTAGGGTCGGGAGGACCTGAGTTCAAATCTGACTTCAGACACTTGACACTTATCAGTTGTGTGACCCTGGGCAAGTCACTTAACCCCAATTGCCTCACAAAAAAGAGGGGAAAAAAAGAGATGAGAATGTTCCTTCCTTTGCAGAGGTGGGGGACTATAGGTGCGGAACATCGCGTGTAACGTCACACTTAGTTGCTATTTTGTTGGTTTGCTTTGCTGAACTGTTTTCCCTCCTCTTTTCCTTCTTTGTTGATGGTTCAACTGGAAGGGAAAGTAGAGGGATATATTTCAAAATGAAGATGACACAAAAAATTTTTAAAATGCCAATTAACATTTTAAAAAATAAAACAAAAAGTATTAGACTCAATAAGTTGCAGATCCCTTTTAGTTCTGAAGTTAGACAAACCTATGGGGGCAACTAGGTGGTACAGTAGATAGGGTACTGGCCTTGGAGTCAGGAGGACCTAAGTTCAAATCTAGCCTTAGACACTTATTAGCTGCGTGACTTAGGGCAAGTCACTTAACCCCAATTGCCTCAAAAAAAAAAGATGAAGTTAGACAAACCTATTGAAAAACCTACAAGCAACATGCAATGGTGAACAATAGTGTAAGACTTGAAGTTTTCCAGCTCAATAACCAAATACCACTTGTAGTACCTATTATTAGATGAATTGCCCTGGCCAGGACACTTAACCCCTATGTGCTTCAAGCACCTTCCTATGTCTTTCTCCTAAGTCACAAGTGGTTCCATTTCTTTAATATGGGAGTAATCCTTTCTGCTTATATAGAGCTTTAGGATTTGCAAAGTGTTTTTCAACCACTATTTCATTTGAGCCTCACATCAGCCTTGGGAAGTAGATGCTGTTATTATTCCCATTTCACAGAGGAGGAAGATGAAGCTCTGAGGAAGTTAAACCTTTTTCCTAGGGCACCATAGCTAGCCACTACCTTAAATCCAACATTCTAGCCACTATCATCACAATGCTACAAGCCATGGAGCCTAGGATTAGCTGGTATTAAAAATACGTGAATTCATCAAAAAGTCTTATTAAAAAGTGCCTCTTCCTGCTGCTTCCTCCCAGTTTCACCCTAAGCCCCTGCCTACCTAGCCTAGCCCCAAGCTTAGGTTGGGAAAGTACTTTGTAAGCTTTTTTTACTTTGTAAAGCTCTGTACAAATATAAGGGATTATTGTTATTATTACTGTTATTCATTCCAGAAAGGTTCAGCCCAGAGGCAAGAAGGATATGGGAGGTAAATACCTAAGGTCCCTCCCAGCCCAAGCATTTCATCCTTTCTACTTTCAAAATATAGCAAAACCTGAATGCTGCCTCCTCTGAAAGGCCCACCTTGAATGCTTAGACTCATTCTAATCCCGCTCTTCTTGAATTCCCAGAACATTTAGCATATGTATTGAGGCCCCAGAAGGGTCCCTGATTGTTTCATAAGTCTTATCTCTCCAACCAAGGCAGAAATGAGGGGACCTTCTCCTCTTCTCTAGCCTGATGGCATAGCCTACTCTACCCTAGCAGTGGTTGGAGAGTTGAGGTCAGTGGGACTTCATGACTCTTTTCAGCTGGGCCTTGAGAAATGCCTTGAAGCCTCTGGCTGAACCAAACCTAGAAGTTTAGTGCATCCCACCTATAGTTAAGGATATGTGAATAAAATTATTATTTTTCAGCAATCTGCCCCTTGGAGAAGGATGCTCCTACTACCAACTCTGGAGAGACTTCAAGAAGATTCTTTCTTCTGAGTTCTTCCTTATCTCCAGCTCCATCTCTCCACTCCATGACACCCCCCCCCAAAAGTTCTCAGGCGCTCCCCTTCCTCTGAGACCATCTAATAGTTCCCAGACTTCCAGCCTAGAGTAGAATGTAACCAGCAGAGTATCTGGACAAGCAAGCAACAACGGAGAGAAATTCTTGGGCAACTATGTATCTGGACAAACTCCTAACAGCAGGCAGTATATAGATGCTGTCAGGGCTTGTAAAGTACCCACCCTTGCAAAGAAAAGAGAAAAGGGGAAAATCTGTAGATCTCTCTTTCTCCTCAGTTCTCAATCTCTGGGTTAAGCTCTCCAAGGGCAAAGATATTTATTCATGAGTTTGGGAGAGCACCCTCTCAGCCAACAAGAAAAAAAAAAAAAAAAAGCAGCAGCAACAGACAAGCAGGAGCTAGGAGAGGGAGAGAAGTAGCCTCTAGTACCAGGGTGTGCGGAGAAGCAGAAGAGGACCGCTTGTGCTGAGCCGGCCGGAAGGGGGCAGTCTAGGGCCGGAGGTGGGGAGAAACCACCTGCCAAATGCTCCTTGGGGAGGGAGAGCCCAAGCCTTTCTGCCTGCCTAGGGACCCCGCGACTTCCCAGCCTCCCCCGGAGGCAGGAGCCCCTGAGCAGGCTGGGAGGGCTCTGGTTTCCGAGATTGAGGCTGAGTCTCCAGGGTGGGCCAGTGGCTTGGGGAAGCAACTTTTTGCACTTGCAGCTCCTCCCCCCACCCCAAAAAAGCCCAAAACAAAAACAAACAAACAAAAGCAACCCGGGAACCGAGGGGTCTCGAGCCTTGGAATCCGGATTCTGGCGTTGGTCTGCAGTCGGCTTGGGACCCTAGACCCCGGAACCGGGGAGCTGGAAGCCCGGATCCTGGAGCCTAGAGGGAGGCCGGCCCCAGGCACAGCCGAGCCGAGCCGAGCCGAACAGACTCGCTGCCAAGGGGGCGGTTGGGAAATAGTTTACAAATGAGAAAAAGCTGCTTCCGAGCTGGGTTTCCATTCAAACCGCCGTCTACAGTGAGGGGGCGGGGGCGCCGCGGAGCGCCGAGCCAGCGCCTGTGTCCTGCGGCTCGCCAGCCGGTCAGCCCGCAGAGCGCGGAGTGGTCACCGGGAGACGAAGCACGCGGCGCAGTTTTCCTTGCAGCAGGAGAGAGTATGGTTACACAGCGGCGAGGACAGGCCTCGTGTACCGGATAGAGGGGAGTGACCAGGGAGAAGGGAGCCGAGACCAGCACGTACATACCTTTAAACTGGGGCACTCTTCGCAGAGACGTCACCAGTCCTGGGCCCTGAGGACAGAGGAAGGCAGAAAGTGACGACAGAGGGATTGGGGGGAGGCGAAAGGGAGCTTCTGCCTTTCAGTTCCGACACCCCAAAGGAGGGCATACTTCCCCCTTTCCCCACAGCCTCCTTCCTTCGCCATCCCAAGCAGTGGGGTTCAGTAGGAATAGCCTGAAAGTTCTGGGAGCTTCTGGAAACTCAAGGTGGGGAGAGATCACTTTCCCCTTCATTTCCAACAGTTTTAAGGTTCTTCAGAGATCTCTGAACCTTCTCTCCAGAAGAAAAGTCTTTTCCTCCCCCTCGGACCCCTCAAAAAAATCCCAGGTTGAATCCAAGACTTTGGAGGGGGTGGATGGGCCATCTTCCCCTGCAGGGATTCTCAGCCAGGACTTTGCCACTCTCTCCCCAGTCCTCCATCTGTTCACATGGAAACTCTGACGGTTCCATTCCCCTAGTCACCGACTGCCAGAAACCCTCAACAGCCTGGGCCCACAGCTCTGTGGGTTTGTTCCGGAACCTTGGGGCTGCTCCCCACCCGTCCCCAGAATCTTTCTTCTACTCCACCTTCCACTCTTCCCTTCCTCTCCCCTCCCTGAAGCCTATGGTACAACCAACACCTCCCCTCCCCCCATCCTGTCTGTTCCCTAAACCAGAAATGCCCTTCCCACTCCTTTCAATTCAAATTCGCATACATTTACTAAGCAGCCACCGAATCCTGGGCTATAAAGACTAAAAGGAAACAGTTCCCAGCCCTTACAGTCTTCATTCTGCTGGACTATTGTCATTTTATCCATTCTTTAAAAGCCCAATTCAGATGCCACTTCTTCCAGGAAGCCTTTCCGTGCTTGGACCTCACACAATACTTTCCTTTGAAACTTTCTAATTCCCCTGTCAGGCAATACTGGGTTTCCCCTACTGGACTGCGAACTCCATGAGGGCAGGGATGATGGCTTACCTAAACTTTGTATTTCTCCTAGTACCAAGAACAAGCACAGTGCCATTCACACAATAATAATTTAGTGATGATGATGATGACAAAGACTAACCCATGGTGGGGTACAGTGGAAGAGTGGATAGAGCCTCAGAATCAGAAAGACCTAGGGTAAGCCCTGCCCCTCTCAGAATCCTCCCAGTGTCTCAAGGCAGACATGAATCTGCTTCAGAAAAGAGATTTTTACCCACTGGGTACTCCCTACACTAATGAAATTGTAAGTCCAGTTAAAAAAAATTTTAAAAAACAGCATCTGAAATTTAAATAGCCAAAGTTTGCAGAATGCTTATCTCATCTGGACCTCACTGCATCCCTATAAAATAGATATTATTATCACCATTCTACAGATGAAGAAACTGAGGCTCAGAAAGGTTTAAGTGACTTGGTCACAGAGGTAGTGTCAGACTCAGGATTTGAACCCAGGTCTTTCTGATTCTAAATCTAGTATACTACCTAGTGTTTGTTAATGCTTGGTGAATGGAATTCAATTGACTCCACTCCATTTCCTATCCCTTACCAACCTTCCCAGTCCCCTTGAGCCCCAGTACCATAGGCTGCTGACAAATACTTTTGCTGGAGCAATCATAGGGCTAAGTTGAAGGACAGAGGAGAGGTGGAAGGAAAAGAGAAAGGAAGGGAGGAGAGAGAGCACAGCCCACAGAATTCTGTCTCAGAACTTTTATGAGAATTCTGATTCTACTAAAGAATTCTCCCCCTCTCCTCCCAGCCTAAATCGCAAGCAGGAGGCTCACTTACGGGTCTCAAGCCCAGGTGGGCATTAATGGCAGACTTTCCTCTCTTTGGGGCATGAGGAGAATACGGGAAGCCTGAGAATATTGAGGATGGTGGTTCTCAGAGGCCTGTGTCTTGAGAAAGGAATGTATAATTTTCGTATAATTTGATATTATATGTATAATGAATATACCAATAATTTAGTTTTCTCAAGAGCTGCCTTTTCCAGCTTGTGAGTCAGACTCACAACACAGCTTGAACTGATCAATCAAACCTTGACAAGGCTCACAATCACTGGTATCCTTCTGCCTGTGTACCTGAAGTGAAGCGAAGCAAAGAAAAGACTGCAGAACCTGTTCCTGTCACAGAACTCTGGTCCTGTGACTCACCAAGATGACCCCCAAGGACTTGAGCAGCATTGCTCCCACAGGACTCCAGAATTGTTGTACTGTCTTCGCTTTGTGGGTTTGATGTCCCAGCCCTGGGAACAGTTGTTTGTAATCCACATTCCCCCATCCCTTCCCATTTGTGATTTATGTATATAATCTCTCTTCACTTCAGCAAGGTGGAATTCTGATGAGAATTCCCAATTTGCAAATCTGTTCTTCATAATGAAACCAATTAATGCAATGGCTACCTGATTACTAGCACTTTGTCTCTGGCCTGCTGTTTTGCCATTCTCAGGTTAGAGACTGGCTCAGGGAAAATCCTGTTAACTGTCTCCAGTGAGCTCTTCCTGAAGTCCAAGGGCCCCTTTGACACTGGTATCGTCTTTTATTATGGGAACCACGCAGATTGGCAACCCAACACAGAGTGGACCAAGAAAACGAGGAGGGAATTATAAACTTACATGGAGCCAGTCAAGTCTAACCTTTCTCCCAGTGCTTCCCTGACCCAGATTATCCCAGAATTTCAGATTAAATATCTTTCCAGTGAAAGCCACAGAGACAAGGAGCCCAAGGAGCCCCCATCCAGGGTCTGGGGTGGGGGAGTCCTGGGGGCAACAATTTACAGGAGGACCAGCAGCGGAGTAGCCCTGGGTAAGTTATTTAATCTCTCTTGCAGATGGGTTTCCACATATGTGAAATGGAGTGTGGGTGTTGGGGGGGTGGGGAGGCATTGAACTTAATCCACAAGGTAACTACATGGCACAATGGACCTGGAATCGGGAAGACTCATCTTCCTGAGTTCAAATCTGGCCTCAGACACTTACTAGTTGTGTGACCCTGGGCAAGTCACAACCCTGTTTGCCTTGGTTTCTTCCTCTATAAAATGAGCTGGAGAAGGAATGGGCAAACCAATATCTTTGCCAAGAAAACCTCAAGTGGTATCACAAAGAGTCAGACATGACTGAAAAACAACTGAACAACAACAGTGACATTTGCAAATGGGTTAATATCTGTAAAACTCTTTGCAATTCTTTAAGTGCTAGGCAAAGGCTAGCTATTATTATGATTCCAGGCAACTAAGTGGTGCTGTGGGTAGTGTTGGATTTGGAGTTAGGAAACCTTGAATTTGAATCTTACATAAAAGCTATTATTGTTGTTGTGGGCCTTACATGGCCTGGTAGCTGGGTTGTGTTACCTGGGTGTGTGCATCTCTGTGCAGGTGTTTTTGCCTGTGCCTCAAGGTTTGTGAATATTTTTGAGCAGAGGCAGTTAGAGAGCTGGCCTTGAAGAAGTCTGGTGAGTGCAAGTCTACCTCGTCCACAGCTAGCTGTGGAAACCTGTATATGTCAGTTTACCTCTTAGGGCCCCAGGACCTCTCTAAGACTAGAAGTAGCAAAGCTGGGGCTGACCCAAACTGATAAATGGACTTCTTCCCTGGGAGCTCACTCCCAGTTGAAATTACAGATTTGGCAAAATCGTCATCACTGTCAGGCTATATCTGTATGTGTTGGTCTGACTTTCCCTCTGTTTGAATGTTCTCAGCATGTGGCTCCTTTCTGGGCAGTGGAAAGGGGTTCCAGAGGCTGTGGTGGGGAGGGGAGGGCTTAGTCTCTCTCCTCCAGTTCCAGTGAGCATACTCGCTGCCTGCCCTTGATGACCTCCCAGAGGACCTGGCTTTACCCTGGTCTAGGTAGAATGGGGCTGGGCTGCAGCAGAATTGAGGAGCATCAGGGGCTCTGGTCCCCTTCCCATCTCTGAGCCCCTATTCCAGATCTCAGTAGTTGCTTCAGTCCCAAGACCACAAGCATTTCCTGCACTAGCATTTCCTGTTCTGGGCTACAAGGGTCCCAGTGGGACTCCCATTTTCTCTCAGGAGACCCAGGTTACTGATTGAGATACCTCACTAGCACCCTCCCCCATGCTGAGCAGGCAGCAGGCACCTCCTTAGCTCCAGGCTGGCCACAACGGGTGGCATTGTTCTCAGCTTGGGTCCTCTAACCTGGGCTGGGGGAGGGGCAGGGGTAGGGAGGGGCAGGACAAGTTTCTTCTTTCCTTCATTCCTAGTCTACCCCTGGGTCAGGAGGGTACCATACCCATTGTCCCCTGGTCATCACACAAGTCCCAATTGAACAGAAGTCTTCTGGTGGCCAAATTCTCTCTGTCCCCTAAAGCACTCCCAGGTTTCCCCTCCCCATAAGCTCCCTCTGAACAATCCACCAATGTGTTTGAGGATGTGAGGATGAATAGCTGTCAGGTAGCCAGCAAAAGTTAGAGAGCATTGGCCATGAGGTCAGGAAAGCTCTGGGATCAAATCCTGCCTTAGACACTGATCTGTAACCCTTGCAAGGCAAGCCAGATCATTTGAGGTCTAAAGCTGGAAGGGATCTCAGAGGCCATCCCCCATTTTATAAAGGAGGAAACTGAAGCCCAGGGAAGTGACTTGCCTAAGGTCACACAGGTAGTAATATTGAACTTGGACCTAGATCCTCAGTGAATCAACATGTATTAAGCACCTACTGCATACAGGCTACTGTGTTCCTCAGCTGAAACACAAACTTGAGGTTCAATGTGGTCCCTGACCTCAAGCAGCTTATATTCTACATGTTTCCTTTCCTTCTAGTTAACATGCTCCCCCAAACTCATTTGTCCCCTCCTCATACTCCCTTTTCCAGGATCACGTCTTCTCATAAGCTCGTCTGTACAGAAGTCCCCACTCCCTGATGGAGCATTGTCTCCATGCTCGGTGGGTGAGTTTGGGAGTGTGATAAGGGAAGGAGAAGAGATAGTACTGAGATTCCTTTTCCCCTCTGATCTCGGGGCTCCATCCTTACCATTATTCTACCTCCCCTTCTTAGCTCCCTCCCCTCTCTACCCCCAACTCAGGCTCAGGAGGCCACTTGGGGACATTCCCGCTGCATTCCCGCAGTAAGTCGCATGGATTTGCTGTGCTCCAGGAAATATGAAAAGAATGTTTTACATGAGCCCAAGTCTCCTGAACTGGCCTTGGTCCAAGTGCCCACGCGAGGCTGTTTAGCCTGGGGCCTCCCCTCCACTCAAGCCAATGCAAATCCATGAGTTGGTGAGGAAGCCCTCCCCACAGCCAGGGCCAGCTTCACCTGCTCAGACACCTTAGGGGGAGGGATGGAGGCTGGATGGCTTGAAGAAATGAGGAGCTGCTAGAATGGCCAGGGAGGCAAGAGGAAGCAGGGCAGGGAGACTGAGGGAGGCTGAAAAGTCTTCCCAGGAAATCTTTCTAGATGGAAGGGACCTCCATGTCCTTACTGGGGCAGGATCCCCTTGCCGCAGGAGCTGAGCAGTCTCCATACATTGTCACCCAGAGGGAAAAAGGGCCCTATAGAAAGA